CTTTGTGTGTAGTAAACAAATCGGGGTTGTACAGTGATACAGACAGCTTTGTGCTAGTAAAAATATTCGGGGTTGTAGAGTGATACAGACAGCTTTGTGTTAGTAAAAAAATCGGTGTTGTACAGTGATACAGACAGCTTTTTGTGTTAAAAATCGGGGTTGTAGAGGGATACAGACAGCTTTGTGCTAGTAAACAAATCGGGGTTGTACAGTGATACAGACAGCTTTGTGTTTAGTAAACAAATCGGGGTTGTACAGTGATACAGACAGCTTTGTGGTAGTAAAAACATTCGGGGTTGTACAGTGATACAGACAGCTTTGTGTTGGTAAACACTCGGGGTTGCACAGTGATACAGACAGCTTTTTGTCTTAGTAAAAACTCGGGGTTGTACAGTGATACAGACAGCTTTGTGTTAGTTAAAAAAATCGGTGTTGTACACTGATACAGACAGCTTTGTGTTGGTAAAAAATCGGGGTTGTACAGTGATACAGCCAGCTTTTTGTGTTACAGTAGAACCCCTCATATCCGGCCTTGGTTTTACCGGTCCTCTGTTTATCCGGCCCCTTTCAGGAAGCCAATATAAAAATTTTTTTCTCACACTTTACAGACGTTTAGATACAAGCACTAGTCTTTGTGACTGCTTAAGTCATAAAATAAATTGTTCTAATTATTTATCTGTTTGTTTATACATTTATTTGCTGAGTCACTATACTCAGTTGAGCTAGTAGGCCTAACCTCTGATCAGTTGGCTGATTATTTCCAAAGTGGGCTTAGTACAGTAGCCTACAGTACGAGTACATTAATTTTTGTATTTCACAAAATGGTTAAAAATGTTGAGTAGAAATGCAAGTGGTATTTAAGTCCTAATGATCTTTAAGTACAATTTATTGTCATTTTTACCTCCATTTAATATGTTTTGTTACCTGGAATCATAATATTTGTAGCCTACATTCATTACTTACAGTAATGACTTTAACCTACAAATATTTTTTTCCCTTTTTACAAACATGTTTATTTTTCTAAAAATGATCCCAGAACAGAATTAAATGATACTTTTGATTGCATATATTGATTACCTATTATTATTAGGTATGAATTGTCATTTTCATAGTAGGTTGGTTTATCCGGCCAAATCGTTATCCGGCCAGGGGCTTGGTCCCGTGGTGGCAGGATATGAGGGGTTCTACTTGTAAAAAATCGGGGTTGTACAGTGATACAGACAGCTTTGAGTTAGTAAAAAAATCGGTGTTGTACAGTGATACAGACACTAGACAGCTTTGTATTTAGTAAACAAATCGGGGTTGTACAGTGATACAGACAGCTTTGTGCTAGTAAAAACATTCGGGGTTGTAGAGTGATACAGACAGCTTTGTGTTAGTAATCAAATCGGTGTTGTACAGTGATACAGACAGCTTTGTGTTGGCAAAAACTCGGTGTTGCACAGTGATACAGACAGCTTTTTGTCTTAGTAAAAAATCGGCGTTGTACACTGATACAGACAGCTTTGTGTTGGTAAAAAATCGGGGTTGTACAGTGATACAGACAGCTTTATGCTAGTAAAAAATCGGTGTTGTACAGTGATACAGACAGCTTTGTGTTTAGTAAACAAATCGGGGTTGTACAGTGATACAGACAGCTTTGTGGTAGTAAAAACATTCGGGGTTGTACAGTGATACAGACAGCTTTGTGTTAGTAAACAAATCGGGGTTGTACAGTGATACAGACAGCTTTGTGTTGGTAAAAACTCGGGGTTGCACAGTGATACAGACAGCTTTGTGTTGGTAAAAAATCGGGGTTGTACAGTGATACAGACAGCTTTGTGTTATTAAAAAAATCGGTGTTGTACAGTGATACAGACACTAGACAGCTTTGTATTTAGTAAACAAATCGGGGTTGTACAGTGATACAGACAGCTTTGTGCTGTAGAGTGATACAGACAGCTTTGTGTTAGTAATCAAATCGGTGTTGTACAGTGATACAGACAGCTTTGTGTTGGCAAAAACTCGGGGTTGCACAGTGATACAGACAGCTTTTTGTCTTAGTAAAAAATCGGTGTTGTACACTGATACAGACAGCTTTGTGTTGGTAAAAAATCGGGGTTGTACAGTGATACAGACAGCTTTTTGTGTTAGTAAAAAATCGGGGTTGTACAGTGATACAGACAGCTTTATGCTAGTAAAAAATCGGTGTTGTACAGTGATACAGACAGCTTTGTGTGTAGTAAACAAATCGGGGTTGTACAGTGATACAGACAGCTTTGTGCTAGTAAAAATATTCGGGGTTGTAGAGTGATACAGACAGCTTTGTGTTAGTAAAAAAATCGGTGTTGTACAGTGATACAGACAGCTTTTTGTGTTAAAAATCGGGGTTGTAGAGGGATACAGACAGCTTTGTGCTAGTAAACAAATCGGGGTTGTACAGTGATACAGACAGCTTTGTGTTTAGTAAACAAATCGGGGTTGTACAGGGATACAGACAGCTTTGTGGTAGTAAAAACATTCGGGGTTGTACAGTGATACAGACAGCTTTGTGTTGGTAAACACTCGGGGTTGCACAGTGATACAGACAGCTTTTTGTCTTAGTAAAAACTCGGGGTTGTACAGTGATACAGACAGCTTTGTGTTAGTTAAAAAAATCGGTGTTGTACACTGATACAGACAGCTTTGTGTTGGTAAAAAATCGGGGTTGTACAGTGATACAGCCAGCTTTTTGTGTTACAGTAGAACCCCTCATATCCGGCCTTGGTTTTACCGGTCCTCTGTTTATCCGGCCCCTTTCAGGAAGCCAATATAAAAATTTTTTTCTCACACTTTACAGACGTTTAGATACAAGCACTAGTCTTTGTGACTGCTTAAGTCATAAAATAAATTGTTCTAATTATTTATCTGTTTGTTTATACATTTATTTGCTGAGTCACTATACTCAGTTGAGCTAGTAGGCCTAACCTCTGATCAGTTGGCTGATTATTTCCAAAGTGGGCTTAGTACAGTAGCCTACAGTACGAGTACATTAATTTTTGTATTTCACAAAATGGTTAAAAATGTTGAGTAGAAATGCAAGTGGTATTTAAGTTCTAATGATCTTTAAGTACAATTTATTGTCATTTTTACCTCCATTTAATATGTTTTGTTACCTGGAATCATAATATTTGTAGCCTACATTCATTACTTACAGTAATGACTTTAACCTACAAATATTTTTTTCCCTTTTTACCAACATGTTTATTTTTCTAAAAATGATCCCAGAACAGAATTAAATGATACTTTTGATTGCATATATTGATTACCTATTATTATTAGGTATGAATTGTCATTTTCATAGTAGGTTGGTTTATCCGGCCAAATCGTTATCCGGCCAGGGGCTTGGTCCCGTGGTGGCAGGATATGAGGGGTTCTACTTGTAAAAAATCGGGGTTGTACAGTGATACAGACAGCTTTGAGTTAGTAAAAAAATCGGTGTTGTACAGTGATACAGACACTAGACAGCTTTGTATTTAGTAAACAAATCGGGGTTGTACAGTGATACAGACAGCTTTGTGCTAGTAAAAACATTCGGGGTTGTAGAGTGATACAGACAGCTTTGTGTTAGTAATCAAATCGGTGTTGTACAGTGATACAGACAGCTTTGTGTTGGCAAAAACTCGGTGTTGCACAGTGATACAGACAGCTTTTTGTCTTAGTAAAAAATCGGCGTTGTACACTGATACAGACAGCTTTGTGTTGGTAAAAAATCGGGGTTGTACAGTGATACAGACAGCTTTATGCTAGTAAAAAATCGGTGTTGTACAGTGATACAGACAGCTTTGTTTGTAGTAAACAAATCGGGGTTGTACCGTGATACAGACAGCTTTGTGCTAGTAAAAATATTCGGGGTTGTAGAGTGATACAGACAGCTTTGTGTTAGTAATCAAATCGGTGTTGCACAGTGATACAGACAGCTTTTTGTCTTAGTAAAAAATCGGCGTTGTACACTGATACAGACAGCTTTGTGTTGGTAAAAAATCGGGGTTGTACAGTGATATAGACAGCTTTATGCTAGTAAAAAATCGGTGTTGTACAGTGATACAGACAGCTTTGTTTGTAGTAAACAAATCGGGGTTGTACCGTGATACAGACAGCTTTGTGCTAGTAAAAATATTCGGGGTTGTAGAGTGATACAGACAGCTTTGTGTTAGTTAAAAAAATCGGTGTTGTACACTGATACAGACAGCTTTGTGTTGGTAAAAAATCGGGGTTGTACAGTGATACAGCCAGCTTTTTGTGTTAGTAAAAAATCGGGGTTGTACAGTGATACAGACAGCTTTGTGCTAGTAAACAAATCGGGGTTGTACAGTGATACAGACAGCTTTGTGCTTGTCGGCGGTCCCCGCTCCTGCAAGCGCCACCTACTGATGTCTGCTGTCCAATCAGTGCTCTTGTACGGTGCTGAGGTCTGGGCCCATGTGCTGGAGAGGCATGTTTTTTGTAAAAATATTCGGGGTTGTACAGTGATACAGACAGCTTTGTGCTAGGAAAAAATCGGGAAAAAATTTGAAAAAACCGGATCCAGCCCAAGATCCGGAATTTTTTTAATTCAATCCGGTGCCGGTTCTAGCTCGGATCCAGCGGATCCGGTAGTCCGATATCCGGATCCGATCATCACTAGAACTTATGTTTGGGAGAAGAATAAGGACCAGGCTGGATCTTATGAAGAAACACCAAGATCACACACAAATGCCCAACATATGTATGTACTAAAATCAAAAGAGAATGTTTATGTTTGTTTAAGTTTATATTTTTTATTCAGTGATGATAATCGTTAAATTAAATCAGTTATACATCCTCTTATGTTTTATTTACTATAATTTAAGGACTTGATAATATGTTTAATCAAAATATTTTTAAGTGTCTAAAATTGTACCAGTAATTATTTGAATTTTTCATATTCCTGTGTCAAAATTTAGTAGTTTGACCATAGTGGTTTGACAGCAGGGAACTTGCCTAGTACATAATGAATTTACCTGGCTCTTGGAAGGCGAGGAAGGTCTGGAGAAGAATACTGCTCCAACAGATTCCAAAGTCGCTGAAACATATTCAAATATTTAATCCTAAATAGTAAAAAGGAAATAAATTATCAATGACCTAACAAGCATCTGTATTAGTATAGAATGTATTTCCACATTTCTCCTTACATCCTGCAAATGATTGATTCCTACCTTTCGGACCATGTCTTGCTTTTTGACACCACCGAAGGTCAGCGTCAGGTCTCTGTCACTCCTGGGGCTGCACAGGGATCGATCTTTGGACATGATCTCTGTGCGGCAGTCTTCTAAGACTCAAAATGCCAGACGAGACCCCCCTTGTTGACGTCGCTGCTCTGGTTGCAGGCAGAAACGTTGAAGAAGCAGATCTAAAACTTGGTGTGCCCAACTGGAGACCAAGCCGTATGCCAAATATATTGGTGTTATGATTGACAGCAAGATGTCTTTCGGGGAGCAGATTAAGCAAACCATTGACAAAGCCGCTAAGAGAGTTGCTCTCTTTAATAGGCTTATGCCAAACGTCGGCGGTCCCCGCTCCTGCAAGCGCCACCTACTGATGTCTGCTGTCCAATCAGTGCTCTTGTACGGTGCTGAGGTCTGGGCCCATGTGCTGGAGAGGCATGTTTTTTTCTGGAGACGCCCATGTTCTTATGTGTTTTCTACGCCTATGGCATTTTTTTAAGTTTTGAAAGGGGATGGTCCAAACCCTGGTTTTGTTACTATCCAACATCAACCTTTTTAAAACTTTTTTATTAGCTCACTTTCTTGTCTGGTACAAATTTTGCAATCAATTTTATACTAGCTTCCGATGAGCTAGATACTCGAAACTTGAAACGTAGCTCACAAATGAAAGACAATGCAATATTATATCATTTAATAATTAATTTTCATATTTCCCTTGGGCTACGCCCCATGGGCTTATTTTTATTAACTCGCTTTCTTGCAAATTTTGATACTTCCCAATGAGCTAGAGACTTGGAACTTGAAACATAGCTCATAAATGGATGACAATGCAATATTATCATTTAATTTTCATATTTCCTTTGGGCTACGCCCCATGGGCTGGTTTTTATTAGCTCCCTTTCCTACAAATTTTTATATAAATTTTAAATGAAGTTCCCGATGAGCTAGACTTGGAATTTGAAACATAACTCACAGACAATGACAATGCAATATTATATCATTTAATTTTCACATTTCCCTTGGGCTACGCCCCATGGACTTCCAAATTTTCCATGTAAACATATCAATTAATTTAAGTCAGCTGTAAAATACTTAAATTTGACAGTTCAAAGATCAGAGGTTAAGAGGTACAGGTTATGCTCCCAAGAGATTCTTTATATAAACAAACATTTCAAAATAAAGATAAACAATCTGATTGCAGATATAAAGGGGTTTGTTAATAATGTCAATTGTTATTTATTTAGTACTAGCAGAGTACCCGTCCTTCGTACGGGGTTGGAATATAAGTATAAAATCCTTATTGCAGTTATACTCAAGCTTTGCATTTGCAATAAGGGAGGACACAGTTTGATAAAATTTGCTTTTTTAAATTTAAAGTATTCTATAGTATTACACATCTACCATAGCCATAATGTTCTACCACTTCACCTAAACAATAGAGAAAAATAAATTATCAACAATTCGCAAAATATCACAAATTATTCATGAAATGAAAAACATAAACATAACTGTAAACAATCCTACTTTGTCAGTTCTCATTGCGAATCACAGTTTTTTGTTGCTGCTTAATTCAAATTAGCTGTTTTCATAAATGCAAAAAATATAGTGCTGCACCCTGTTGGTAAATCTTATAACTTTTTCATGATTTTCCATATCATAGAAGCAACTTTTTTAGTTGAAACAGCTGACTAAATTCTTTAATTCCCTTTAAATATGAATACTCATAAGGTTAACATGGGGAACTACAGAGCCCGAAAGGATTTTTGAGATAAGAATATGCTTATATGTTAATCGGGAATGTAAGCTATCATCATGCCAAATTTCAGCCCAATCCGTCCAGTGGTTTATGCGTGATTGAACTTCAAACACACAAACAAACAAACACAAAAACTTTCACATTTATAATATTAGTAAGATTCTATAAAGTAAACAATAAATTTAATAGATTGATATATTTATAGTCAGTAGGTAGGACATACATTCAATCTAATACATAATTATATGAAAAGAAACTAAAAAAAACCTTAGATTTCCCACATGCCTCTGTTTTAATCTGATACAGATGATTAAAATAGATTTAACATCCACACAAATTAAAAACTAAAAAGTAGAAAATAATTTATAAATAGGCCTATGTGGAGAGTTTTAAAAAAGTGTTTTATTTATAAATTATTTTTATATAGCATCATTCATTCATAGCCCAATGACAAATGGCATCTTGGTATCGAGCCAGTAACTTTCTGATTTGAGGACACAGACAAGTCATAGTACAGTACAACTCCGATTATCCTGGACCAGACCCCATTCGGATAATCGGAGTTTTACCGGAATTCTGGGAATTTAAAGAAAAATCCCCATTTTCTGAACTAAATGAACTTTTAATTAATAATAAATGAAATCACAACATTTTTACAGTTTACAATGCATGTACGAGTGTTATATACATGTTATTAAGATAATAGTGGTCCATCAAAGTCCAAAAATACACACTTGCTAAATTTAAAGTACAGTACTATCTTACTTGTTGAACATTTCCACCAACGTGAGCTGCTTGGCTGTTTTCAGACATTTTTTTGCAGCCAGATCGCGCATCCGTTTAACCGTTAGTAGTTGTAGGTGATCGCACTCAGGTTGCCGCTCCATCCATCTTAATGCAGTTTCAAGACAATTAAATGCTTCTGAAGCTGACGGTCCAATATCACTTTCAACTTCCATGTTGACTTCTTCTTCCTCCTCAACAATGTCTTCGGAAACACTTTCAATGATCTCTTCATCACTTAGGATTTGATACCCAGGATCTGACGAATCACTCATGACCCACTCTCCAACCACTTCAGTACTCACTTCTGAACATCCTGGAATTCGTATAAGAATGTTTCTTAGTTCTTCGAGTGACATATCATCTTCATCTATCTCATGTTCTTGTTGTTGGGCATCTTGTTCTGCTCTCTCCTTTTCCTTCTCTTGTTCGGTTGATGAGCCTTTCAATTTATTCCATGCACGTCTTAAAGTCTCTGTTTTAACCAGGCTCCATGGTTCCGCTACCATGTAAGCACAATCTTTCAAATTTATCTTCTTGTGATTACTCAGAACACATTCTTCATCCTCTCCTTCGACTAGAAGATTCCAAACTGCCTTCTGTAGTGGCGTTTCATTGTCTCTATAACGGACTGGTCCATTGGTTGCAATAGGCTTGTAACATTTGGCAGTAAAAAGATTTTTTTGAACTGGCCATTATCTCGTTCCATCAAGTCCTCAGTAGGATGTGTTGGAGCATTGTCTACAGTCAAAAACACCTTACTGTGCTCTTTTCCCAGAGATTTTTGATGTTTTTTTACCTCGGGAATGAAAATTTCGTCATACCATTCGGTGAACAATGATCCAGTCATCCAAGCCCTAAGTTGGTTTTTGTGGTGAACGGGAAGTTTTTTTACATTTTTAAAAGCTCTAGGCCTTTGAGATTTGCCAATTAGAAGAAGGGGAATTCTGTGGTTTCTTGTAGAGTTAGCACAGTTAAGGACTGTAACACGGTCCATACTTATTTTATGTCCAGGTGCACTACTCTCCCTTTTGGATGCTTAAGTAGTCTTAGGTAAGGCTTTCCAAACAAGGCCGGTTTCATCGGCGTTGTAAATGAACTCTGGATCGTAGGATTCAGTCACAACTTTAAAGGTTTCAATGAACTGTTCTGCAGCGTTAGGATCCGCCGATAACTTCTCACCACTTAGGTCAACTTAGGTTCACGGACACCATGCCTGGACTTGAAATTCCTTAGCCACCCGTTGCTTGTTTTAAAAGTCGCATTACCAAGTTTTTCAGCAAATAATTTTGCTTTCTCGCAGAGAATAGGGCCGGAAATCGGGTTTCCCAAAGATCGTTGCTGTAAAAACCTCTTGAAAACAGCATTTTCTAAATCTATACGTTTGTTGCAGTCTTCATTGATTTTCTTGAAGAGCTTCCACCTTTGTTTTCAAGAACTGATACAAAGTTTAATAATGTAGCCTTGTTCTTTTTTATGTCCGAAATTGTAGCCTTTCCAACACCATACATTTCAGCTAACTGCTTTCCAGTTACACCTTTGTCGGATTGCTCTAAAATCTTTAATTTATCCGCTAACGATAACACAAAGTGTTTTCTTTTAGACACCATGATAAAAAAAAGTGTCTTGGTCTGTAACAGGTTAACAACACACTGACAACGACAGTCTCAATCAGATCAAAGGATATGAGTAGGAAGGGAGAAAGAAGACAGTAGCAGTAGCCAATAAAAACCGTGCGTAGAGATAGTGACTCACTCCCCCGCCCTTCGCCTATATGTACTAGTAGTTTCACGGGAGGAGGAACCATTGTAGGCCATATAGTAGCTTTGCGGAGGGACGAACAGTAGCGCTCAAGGACGTCTGCCGTCTTCAATAACAAATATTTGATATTTTGCGAATCTTATTTACTATAGCTTTACGTTTTTTGAATTGTTGAAATAAGCGATTCGGATAATCGGCGATTCGGTTAATAGGAGATTGGATAATTAGAGTTCTACTGTATTTACAAGAGGATTATCACATTGCCGGTTTGATGTTGAGAAAAGTCATTAGCTTTTCTGTACTAGTTAAAACTGGGCCCAGTTCAAGATCATTGGTATTTATCGATACCAATACCAACCCTTCTACCAATGTGTGTTGCTGTCTTAATGTAATCAAATGAAAAAAACAGTTATTTGTGTTTTCATTGAAAAATACAGTTACAACAGTTACAGTTATTTATAGTAGAACCCTCCCGTCTCCCCCAACCAATATACAATTTGCATCCAACTTTTAACTGCACTAAAGCAAGTATGAATATTGAATGAGTCACTAAAATGTATCAGAATTTTTACATGATGATTTTGCACTTGACAAGTTTATGGAGCACATTATATTTTTTTTTGTTGTACTTATTGAGTAATCGAGTGTTTTAAAAATGCCAACAAAGGCTTTAAATATATTACAACTGTTATTGATCTTATAAAACTAATTACAATAACTTAGTAAAATACATAAGCGTAAGTATTACAAAACTAATATAATAGTGAACAAGAGATGTGACTAACCTGTCTCTGGGGAGGTGCAGTGAAGGAGTTGGTAGGCAGTCCAGGAGATGACGGAGTTCTGCACATGTTACGCAAAGCCCACTCCAAGCTTACTGCACACACAACAATGCACCTTTATCAGAATGAGTAGAAGAATCAAGTTTAATCACTTGCAATAGGTTTTTATAAGAGATGTGCGGTTCTCGATACCACAGATACATTGGACATTGGTGCATCGACATTGGTGCATCGACATTGGTGCGTGGACATTGGTAATGGTACCGAGAATTGATTGTCAAAAGTCTATACCCATACCAATGACCAACATGTCTGAGAAGATCGCACAATCTAAAAATTACCGCTTTTGCTGTGACCACACATGACAGCAAAGAGGTTTCTGCGACCAAGGGGGATGATTATAGTGATTCAGATGTTGACAGCCATAACAAAATTCAAACTTTAAGCCCTAAGAATGATTTGACATGTTTCAAAAGTAACTTAACAAAACGTTTGATTATAAATTTGAATATTTATTTAGGCCTGAGGGACAGCATTGCAGATTGAGAGCTTGTATAACTGGCTTGATCCAATATGGTGTGTAATTCATTAAGATTTCACCTTTATTTTAGTGCGAGATGCCCGACTACAGCAAAAGGTATGCCTGAACAGCTTGATTGTAGGCATGATTAAACCAATAAATAAGTTATTGTATTGAAACTATTCTCTAGCTAAAACTGATAAATATGAACTACTTTTATTTTTAGTTACTAAGACTAAATGTTAGCAGTAATAGGCCTATGTAATATTTGCAGTACCGGTAACATTGGTGTTGATGCATTTATTCAAGGCAGAGATAATTAAGTGTGTGGAAAATGGTATATACCTTTTGGAGGTGTAAGAGGATCTCCACTGGAAGTGCTCCTGTCATGGTTACTGCTGGGATCACTCAGCAATGCCTCCCTAAAGAGAAAAAACACTGGATATTAGAGATGAAACTATTTTACATTAAAATCTGAAATAAGTCTTACCCCTTGCACATAAGTAGATGGGGGAAAAGTCCAAAATTAAGTAAAGAAATTAGGATGCACAGAATTGGATTGTATTTTTATATCAGGACAGGATGTAAAGTGAATCACTGTCAGTGATGGTACAGAATTTTCTTTCCCAAAAAATATTTTCCTCCCTAGAATAAGGGTTTAGTTATTAACAAAGAAGATAGTAACTAAGTTAAATTAGCAACAAGATTTAGTAACATATTGATTTTGTTTGCCATTATTGCCATCTGCAAGAATATTAACCTAAGATTTTTAAACATTTTGCAGATGGCAATAAAGTCAAACAAAACCAATTTGCAGTATTTATGGCACTTATTTATAAAAAATGGATAAAAAGTATGGTACATAGGTATGGAAAGGGAAAGGATTTTATCTAAAAAATTACATACCTGGTGCAATTTAATTTTAGAACATAAAAAAACGCTGGCTAACCACAAATAGGAATTTAAACTGACTATCCCTGCATTTTACAAAATGTTTAAAAATGTTCAAAATGTTTTAATGTTTAGGGTTTTAAGGCCTGATATGACTACCAGTAGAAAAACGGTATTGTCTGAACCCTTTTAGTGCTACAGAGTCGGTGACAGCGACGAACTATTTTTACCTTAAAGTGCGAGCGTCCCTGAGAGTGACTATTCGTATTTCGTATAGTATGCATCGATGCTGTGAACTTATTGGCTGGTTAATTCATTAGTATGTTTCAAAAGCTTCAAATAATCGATTGCCGGTCATATCCCTCTGTTAATAAAAGGTTAAATACCTGTAGTACTGTCTGTGATCCTGGTTTTAGTCAGTGACCCAGGTTTCCAAACATATTCCAAACAAATCCTGGGTCGGCGTGGTTGTTTTAGAGGGTTTCAGCATTACTTACGATTAAAAAATGGCAATTTCGTGTAAAATAATAAAATAAGAAATGTTTTACAATTTGTTTTACTTTATGTATCATTGTAATCATTACTAAGAATACTAATAGATAGCTTGTATTATTTTTTATGTGAATACAATTGTAAAAAAAATATTTATTCTAAAGTTGTTGCTGGGTTTGAAATAAAAAAAGTATTTACAGAAAAATCTTATTTATTGTCTCAGTACATTAGTTGATAAACAAAAACTAAACATTGTTTATTATAAATTTTTTCGTTTCTGAAAGTATACTGCTGAAAAAATAAATTTGTAAAAGAATAAAAATGTATTACTTAGATTCAAAATATCTAAAACAATGTCGTTACAGTTACCTTCTTGTTTTCCTGTGTCTTTAGTCTATTTGTGAATGTTCATAAAACAGTTCTTGCATAAGTAAGGCTTATCGGGGCACATATTGCAGGTGAGTTTACGCGGGAATGTGTGGTATTGCCATCTGTAGACTGGGACGGGTGGCGTCGCCCTGTAATCCAGCTACTAGGAGGTCACGAATTGTGGATATTTATAGGGATGCACTGTGGATGCGATGCTCCCTGGTGTGGATTAACGTCCGCACTAGTGAGTACTACGACTATCCGCAGTACTATCTTGATAATTAGACCAATTCGTAAATTACAAGGAAAAATGTGGTTCGGATTCCACTATAAACTGTAGGTCCCTTAGTTGCCATTAGCTGTATGGGCTATTAATTAACAGCTGTGTCTAAGGAACATGTCGGCCTTAGTCACTAACAAGACTACAAGATTGCGCCACTCATCCTTCACTCATATTTGGGTTAAAATACGTACATAGTGGCGTCCCCATCTTAAATAAATGAGTAAATGAGTAATCTGCGCAAAGCAATAGAATGGTTGTAGACTACACCAACATACGCAGGTGGCAACAAAAGTGCGCGAACAATAGGGCTGTGGCAAGTTTACGTGGGAAAGTGTGGTATTGCCAACTTTGCAAAGTAAAATTGCCTTCAGCAGGCCCATTCCACGTGTTTCCCGAACGGGTCGGCAGCTATTTATTTTATTGATTTTTTGCTGAAAAATGTTAGTGCCGACCCGATCGGTCAAAAACTACCCCCACCCCTAAATATAATAATTATGATTCAAAACATCAATATTAACCTATAAAAGTAAATAGAAACAATATTAGTGAAATTCTACATAAAATCAAGTTTGGCAATAAAGTGAAGAGGCTGAATATCAAGGTGGCAGTTAACGTGTTATATACATTATTGATGATAATTCTGAATTACCTACTGAAATTAACATTTGCACTAGACCTAGGGTACTTTTGCATAACTGGATCTATTAAGTTTTAGTTGGAAACATTATTAATTCTAATTCTAGGGGACACTACACAAAGTTAAAATTGTTTTGAATTGGGTGGTTTGTAATTTTTATTGTTTATGTAGGGGATATAATCTTCCTGTTATTGTCTGAAAGTTTTATTGTAATAAAACGAGTCAACATACGGCAAGCAATGCAAAACGTAAGGAGCCCAGACGAGGAGCTGGAACAGTTAGTGGCAACGTGTACTTACAAAATTACACTGACAAATACAAGAACTCAGCAGTATTCACTTGGCGAGATGGCATTAAAATGTCAGAAATGTGGTGCACTACATTTTAAAGAAAAACAAAGAGGACGAGGTGAAGGATTTTCATCCTGCTGCCATATAAAGGAAAATTGAATCTTACACCAAACCGAGAAAGCTATTATATCCAGAGCCTACTAAATGGAGCAAATCATTTGAGCAGAAACTACAAAGAGAACATTAGATCGTACAACTCTGCGCTCGCAATGGTCAGCACTCGAGCTAAAATTGAAGAACATAACGGTGGAGGGCCTTTCATGTATAAGGTGCACGACACAGTTCATCACTCTATTGGCACCTTTCAACTGTCAGAAGGGGAGCATCCCACATATGCCCAAATTTATATCTACGACGACAAATCCGCTGTTCAAGAAAGAATGCTAAACAAAGCTAATGGCTCTTGCAGCACTGAACTCATGCACATTTTGACTAAACATTTGGTTGATATTAATCCATTTGCGCAAGTTTTCAGCATGATAAGCTCCGTCCTGCAAAATACTCCTACTGAACAGCAAAAATAACTTAGAATGTATATAGCCAACGATCGAGCTCAAGACCAACGTCAATACAACGACGCAACTTCTACGTTGCTACAATATATCCTAATTTATTCGTGCGAATTCGCACGGGTTCACCTAGTACCTTATAACTGTTGTCTAAACTTGTTCTAACCTCAAGCCCTGGTTTACCGGTTTTATTGATGCTTCTCCATAATAAAGCGAATTCCCTCATTTATGGTCCTGCCCCTATGTCCCAAAGTACAATCGAAACCCCTTTTAGTGGAAATTATTAATTTTATCTAACTAAGGGTGATGGATATTACTGTCTAACATCATATGTTTGTAATTAATATTGCTTAATGTATGAAATCACATGTTAAAAACGCTTTATTTACAATTGATTGTTTTGTTTAGGTGTTGTATTAAAATAGACTTTTATGATTGTGCTTTATTCTGAATTTTCTAATGTCTTAAATATTTAACAATGGCAACGAGGATAATAGAAACAATTGAACAAATAAAGGATGAGAATGAGAGGATAATCAAGTACAAAAACCTCAGAAGATCATTGAAAGCTCAGCTTACAAATATCACAAAACTATTGAAAGAGCACAAAGTGTCTACAGATGCTTCAGTTAGACTACATCATTTAAATGAATTGCACACGAAATTTGGTATAATACAGGACCACATTGAATTAATGATTAATGAAGATGATATTGAAGATGAACTCGCTTACAGACAAGAATTTGAAAATACCACAATTGCTACCAAGGTAATGTTACAAAACCTAATTGATACATCAGGTGTCGATTGTTCAAATGATCAGATTCAGCATGCTACTACAACAAATGTGACAACCTCAAATCTAAACTTTGTGCGCCCTACAATGAAAGGGAAAGTTTCCGAAATTTTACAAAACGTTTGGATACTTTTATGGAACTAAAATGCATACAGGACCAAAATCAGAAAACATTGACATTCTTACATGCTCTCACACCATTAATTCATCAAAAGCTATACGACATTTGCTCACCAGATGATCCAAATAACAAAACATACAAAGAACTAGTACATTTATTACAACAGTACTTAGATCCTCAAGCAAGTACACTAGCGTTACGTTACAATACAAATTTGTACTTAGAGAACAACCGAATGGAGAATCAGTAACAGATTTTCAACGGACCTTAAAAGGTTATCTACAAACTGTGAGTTCAACTGTGCATGTGGAAAGTCTGTTTGTGATATATTTTTGCGATTACAGTTTGTCAGAGGACTAAATGACCCAGAAATAAGAACAAGACTCTTACAAGAACGTGAATTGAGAACATTTTCTGAGTTAGTTAGGACAGCAACCGGAATAGAGCTATCAAAAACAAAAAGTGCAATGATTACTGAGCAACATTTTGCTAGACATGTGAATCAAGTCAGATACAAAAGTCAGCAAGTACCTGTACCAACAAATAAAGATGTAGGAAATACAAGGTATTTCATTAAATCTACTGCGAAACTTGATAAAACTTCCTTGAGTTTTGATTCTTTAAGAGGAAAGTGTTATCGTTGTGGTAATGAATCACATATGGCTAATAAATGTAAATTCAAAGAAGAAACATGTCATTCTTGCAATAAAATTGGTCATATTGCTCGTGTATGCATGAGTAAAGGTAAGTTACAAAAATCAGTTCACTATGCTGAAGAAGAAGCTTTTGAAGAAGAGGATGGAAACGACTTACATAACATACATTTACTTTCAAATTCCAATGACACAGATAAATTCAATGCAAAATTATCAGAGGATGGCAAGGAGATGTTATTCGAATTAGACACAGGCGCATCATTGAGCTCCATTTCCCTAAAAGACTTTCAACACAATTTTCCGAACAAAAAGCTTCTATCAACTGCAGTTGAACTACGCACATACACAGGAGAAATAATAAAACCGTGTGGCGTAGCTTTTGTGAAATGCAACTACAAGGGACAAAGATTCATTGGGAAGCTATACGTAATAGATCACCAAGTTGATGCTATATTTGGACATGAGTGGATGAGAGAGGTGAAACTTGATTGGGCAGACATGAGGGCAGTTAAAGAAACAAATGGATCTCAGCTGACATCCTTACTTGAAGATTATGAAGATATTTTCAAGACAGAGATTTGAGAGATTCCTGACTTCAAAGCTAAATTTCAGGTGATGGAAAACACTACACCTATTTACATAAAGCCTAGACAAGTACCATACGCAATAAAATGTAAGGTCGAGAGGGAGATTGAACGATTGGAACGTGAACACATCATTACTAAGGTCGAAAACTCTGCTTGGGGAACCCCTGTGGTTTCAGTAATAAAACCAAATGGCAATGTGAGATTATGTGCCGACTACAAGGTTACACTCAATAAAGTAATTGAAGAGGTAAACTATCCCATACCAAGAATAGAAGACATTTTCTCAAACATGAGTGGAGGGAAATACTTTTGTACACTTGACATAAGTAATGCGTACTTACATATGGTAATGGACGATGAAAGTGCTAAAATGCAAACCTTAAGCACACACAAAGGGCTTTTTAAGGTCAATCGCCTTATGTTTGGAGTGAAGGTCGCTCCAACTCTCTGGCAAAGATTCATGGACTCAACATTACAAGGTCTGGATGGAGTACAGTGTTTCTTTGATGACATACTTGTACAAGGATCTACGTTTGATGAAACTTTACAAAGATTAAAACAAGTAGTGAATGTGTTACGTAGTAAGAGTCTACGATTGAACAGAGAGAAATGCAAATTCTTTCAGAAGAGCATAAAATATTTGGGACACGTGATTGATAACAATGGTTTACACAAGAGTACTGAAAAAGTTGAAGCAATAACTAATGCAAAACGACCTTCGAACATCAATGAACTACGATCATTCCTGGGTTTGGTGACTTACTACAGTAAGTTTATTTCATGCTTCTCTGATATAGTTTATCCTTTGAACAATTTTCTAAAGAAGAGCAAACCATTTAAGTGGACATCAGCTTGTGAACAAAGCTTCAAGAAAGTGAAAGAAAAAATTGCAAATGAACAGATATTACTGACATTAGCTCATTTTGATCCTTCGCTACCCTTGGTTCTTGCTACAGATGCTTCTCCAGTAGGACTTGGGGCTGTCCTATCACATTGAATGAAAGATGGCAGTGAAAGACCAATAGCTTTTGCCTCCCAAACATTGACAAGGAGTGAACAAAAATACAGCCAAATAGATAAGGAAGCAACTGCAATATACTGGGGATTGAAAAGATTCTTCTCTTACTGTTATGGTCGTAAGTTTGTACTGATTACAGATCACAAGCCTTTAGTATCTATTTTCGATCCACATAGAACTTTACCGACAATGACAGCTACAAGGATCTTTAACTATGCACACTTCCTTTCAGGGTTTAACTACACTGTTGAATTTTGCAGAACACAAGACCATTTGAATGCTGATTTTCTTTCCCGATTTCCAGTTGAGAGCACACCTGATGATTTCTTGGATGATAATGCTGTGTTTCAATTAAGTCAGTTGGAAACAATGCCAGTCACTAAAGAAGAGATTGCAAGAGAATCTTACAATGACAGCACTACAAAAGAAATTATTAAATTACTTAAAGAAGGAAAGAGTATCAAAAGAATTGGTTTACATGATCATGAATTTACTGTACAGAATGATTGCTTGTTTAAAGGAAACAAAATAGTTATTCCAACTAGTTTGCAGAGTAAAGTCCTACAGGAACTTCACATTGGACATTTAGGCATTGTAAAGATGAAGGGGTTAGCGTTATTGTTACTGGAAGGGCATAGATAACGACATAGAGAATTTGGCAAAAACATGCAAAGAGTGTTGTCAAAAACAGAATCGACCAAGCTTAGTGACTCTACACCCTTGGGAAAGTGCTGAACAGCCATGGCAGAGAATTCACATCGATTTTGCTGGACCATACGCTGGAAATCAATACTTTTTCATTATTGTTGATTCATTTTCTAAATGGGTTGAAGTTATTCCAACAAAGATAACAACCTCGGAATGGTGCATAAAGACACTTTTGGTATTCCTCCCGTACTAGTACCTGACAATGGACCACAATTCACATCATTTACATTCAAAAGTTTCTTAAAGATAAACAGGGTCATCCACAAGACATGTGCTCTATTTAACCCTTCGTCATATGGGCAAGCAGAAAGATTTGTTCAGACGATAAAGAAGGGCTTAAGTGCAATGAAAAGTGAGGGAGGAGACATAAGTACAAAACTACCAATGTTTCTAACGCAACTAAGAAAGTCTGTAAACTCAACGGGTAAAGATGCGTACTCCCTCCCTTATGTTCGGTCGAAATATAAGAACTCGTCTTGACTTCATGCTGGAAACAAACAAACTAGAAACAGCAAATGAGAATGAAACTTCAAATAAAAGATATCGCAATTTTAACATTGGAGAAAGGGTTCCAGCTTTATGCTACAACCAAAAAGGGAAAAAGTGGAGTTTTGGAAGAGTAACAGCTAAAGAAGGAAAAGTGATGTATGTTTTGCGAATGGATGATGGCTGCAACTGGAGAAGACATGTCAACCAGATGCTACCTTGCCGATTAAAGGGGGAGGATTGATGGATATTACTGTCTAACATCGTATGTTTATAATTAATATTGCTTAATGTATGAAATCGCATGTTAAAAACACTTTATTTACAATTGATTGTTTTGTTTAGATTTTGTATTAAAATAGACTTTTATGATTGTGCTTTATTCTGAATTTTCTAATTTCTTACATATTTAACAAAGGGCTTAAGCAAAATAAAAACTGCTTGGGCAACTGATTCTGTAGAAAGAATAGAAATACCATAAAGAAGGATGATTTGCATGCATGGAATTGTCTTTGTTCATTCTCATACGCAACATCGGAGAGTACTCCTAGTTATACTACTGTATAATAATCAAGATTCTACCATACTTTACTTAACAAAGCAAAAAATGCAGATCAGTTACCTTGGCCTGGATGAAGAATCGACGAAGCAACTATCCAATAAACTGTCCATGCTGGCCCTTGGGGTAGACTGGAGTTCTCCTAACAAGAAAGAACTGATTACTTATCTCCATTTTGTTTCCACAATAAATAAAAAAAACCTACCCAAATCTCACATTTTTAAAAGAGTGTATTTAGCAAAAAATACAGGCTAAGTTCTTCGGTTTATACTTTCAGTTTAAATCCTTCAATTTATCGTGATGTTTAAGAGTTTTTTTTATTTTGTTAATCTAACGAGGGCTGTCCAGAAAGAAATACTAGTGTTGTCCTTAGCAATACTAAGCTTAAACTAAGCTTTACTAGCTATGTACTAGGTTTTTGAAGTATTTAGCAGGTTCAAAACTACTGTAGAAAAGAATAAACAATTTGGTCAAAGATTTGAGTGGTTGCAATCATATTTGAATAATCCTATGAAATTGTACATGGCTCTTGATCAAATTATCTACCCACAGTAAAGTTTCCCAATCAATCCTCTGACTTATTTAATCACATAGCAATATCTTATCGGTCAACACAATACCTTACCAAATATGAAAAACATTAGCCATGCATAGCTACCTTGAAATATGTGGAGTCCAAAGAGATCTAGCATCAAATCATCTTCAAGACAATCAATCGGGATCATTCTGAAACCAAATTAGAAATACTGTAAAATTACTTTTTGGAGGTACATTTTTATAAACAGGGATTATGTAGGCTATTGTTTTTGGAATACTTTTAATGTCACAAGAGGGAGGCATAAAAAACCCAAGAATCAAAAATTATTGATAAATCTGTAACTGCTTATTAGTTTTAGGCCTTTGGACCTGTGAAGGAACACATGGCAAAAATTCAAGACAATTTAATGAGCTAATAATGGAAATCAGGGAGCAACTGAATCTCATAGTTGGTATACACATAATCTGACCTGTCAAATATAAATTTTAACACATTGTAGCATTAATAAAATAGTCAACTCAAGGCTAATTAAGAGATCCAGTGAGGTTTTGAAGGTTTAAATACAGATACAAAGCACAATACTTACTCAATACTAGCTCTAGTATCTCTATACAACTGCTGAGCCATACTCAAATCTACATCATTCTCTCCTGAAAAACATAATTAACATTATTTCCTTAATAAATAAGAATATAACTTTGAAATCTTGCAAAAGAGGTGCTATAGAGATGATTCAGCAAGTGTTGCATTTGTGTAAAAAATACTTAAATCGTCATCTGAAAACCCAGACATAAAGTTTTTAGAAGCATGAATATGCGCTAGTTGGGAATTTCTATTTCATAATTTAACAGTGTAAGTCGACAAATAAACTATCCTACTAATATTATAAGTGAGAAGGTTTGGATGGATGGATGGATGTTTGTGACAAGTAAACACGAAAAATGCTGGTAGGATTGGGCTGAAATTTGGTGTAATGATAGTTCACATCCCCGATTCACATATAGACACATTCTTATCTCAAAAATCTTTTCGGGCTCCGCCCAAGTGGCTCTGGGGTTTCCCATATTAACCTTATGAATATTCATATTTTAAAAAGAATAAAAGAATTTTGTCAGCTGTTACAACTACACAAGTTGGTTCTATGATATTAAGTAGCATTAAAATAAGGTTTACCAACAAAGTCAACCACAACGTCCACAACAAACACAAAATCAAACATAAAAAAAACCTAAGGCCGCCAAAGTCCCAAAATGAGTTTGCTCAACTTTCAAGGGCACTATATCTCCTGCAATCACATTAACTAAACCAAAGAACACAGGAAAACCTAAAATCTCTGCCAAGCTTCTTAAGCAGGGAGAGACCATTGAAGACTTCTTTTGGAAAAATATAGACCAATATAAAAAGAATACCCCCGCCGCAGCAAACCTGCAGACTAAGCGAATTTCCATTAGCCTGATAGGATTTACACTAAAATGTCTCCTTAAAAATATCATATTTATTCCCTATTTAAATAGAATTAGTTAAACTAGTAGGCTTACTTAGGTTTGCTGCAACAGGGAGGGTAAAAAGGTGTTTTTTTTATGTTAATAGGTTGGTAAGAAATTAGTGTATTTTCCAAATTCTGTCAAAATATGTTCATAAACAAGTACAACAGTTTACTTTTTCTCCATAAGAATAACATGAGGATTTTAAATTTACAGTTTTTTGGAATTTTCTCCGTAACCATTAGGCGTACAACAACGCTTCAATATACTAAATTATTTGTTTTTTTATGCTCTACAAAATGGTGTGAAAAGAAATTGTAAAATGTTGTGTTTTTAGGGTCAAAAATGGGAAAAACCTATTTTTACCCCATAAAACCCCCCATAAACCCCCGTTCCCATAGTCCGATCATGCTGGTTCGCGAACTCGTTCAAATAAATGTAGGTTTACACGTTTGTACCAAATTTCATCAAAATCGGATGATTTTTGCTCGAGTTATCGTGCTAACGGACACATATATATATATATATATATATATGAATTTGAACGGATGGTGTTTTTGGCCTCTAGGGACCTCAAAACGAAAAAATAAATCGGTCCCGGGTCCAGGTCTTACCATGAGTACTACGGTAATAGCTTATTCCCTATATGGGAAATTCGCTAATACTCTGTCACACACCAAGCGACAAAACATGACCGAGATGGACTGCCTCTCATTCCAAGGAAAACGGAAACAAGAACAGCTGCAAGAACAAGACCCCAACTCAAGTCAACAAGCCAATCACTCTGGAGTGCCCCTCACTATAACTTCTGTTTTTAGAAACAAACAGCCTGAAAAAAACAAAAGAAAAACCAGCAAATTGCCAAATAATTCTTGTGTAGCAATAATGCACCGAAATATTAGAGGACTTGCTACAAAGAACAGACTACACCATATTCTTAACAACACAAATCCAAGCATTCTAGTCTTGACTGAACACAGACTGAAAAAAGCAGAACTAGAAGCTACAAAAATTCCCGGCTACTCTTTAATTACCCACTTTAGTAGAGAAGAACATAAACTTTGAGGGGTAGCAATATATTCCAAGAAAACCCTTGCTCAAACACATGCCAGGAGCTAATTTTCGAAGCAGCAACCATTCGCATGCAGACAACAAAGAAAAAGGATATCTACATTCTGGGAATCTATAGACTAAGACTACCAAGGGAAAATGCAAGAATTGCCCTTGATCTCCTATCACACACGCTAGACTACAAGAAGTACACAAGAAACACTCACCGGAGACATAAATATTGACAGGCTCGTCCAAGATACCAAAAACACCATGCTGGAAGAAGAGTTAACCAAACAAAACATCTGGAGATTTCCTCTAGAGACCACCAGAATAACCCATGACACAGCCACTTCCATAAACTTGATATGCTCAAACATACCATATGCGGATATTACTGGACAAGTTATGCATTCAAATTCCTAATCCGCCATAAAAGGCAGTAAAATATCCCTGCCGCAGCAAGCAATCCTGCAGACTAAGCGAATTATTTCAACTTGTCTGATTACATACAGCTAATGGCAACTAAGGGACCTACAGCTTAGACTGGAATCCGAACCACATTTTTTCCTTGGTATTTAACGAATTGGTCTAATTATCAGGATAGTACTGCGGATAGTCGAGTACTCACTAGTGCGGACGTTAATCCACACCAGGGAGCATCGCATCCACAGTGCATGCCTATAAATATCCACAATTTGTGACCTCCTAGTAGCTGGATTACAGGACGACGCCACCCGTCCCAGTTAAATTTAAATAACATTAGATTTAACGAGTGCTTAGGTTTGCTGCCACGGGGAAGGTAACAAGTGTTTTTTGACCATAAAATTACACTATTTTTGAATTTTCTCCGTGACCGTTAGGCATACAACACGCGCTTCAATATACTAAATTATTTATTTTTTTAAGCTCTACAAAACAATTTAAAAAGAAATTGCAAAATTTTTTTTGTTTTTAGGGTAAAAATGCAAGTAAAAATAAACAAGAAAGTGTCCGAATATGTTAAAAACTGCGCCATTTTATAAGCTTTCCAACCATATGCTATACTATTGAGGTTTAGATATTCTGTCGTTTGTTTTAGTGGTTTGAATACCAGAAAACAGGGTGTCTTTAACATTTAAAACATAGAAAGTCGGGTATTTTTGTTTTAGCTCTAACAGTAAAAACAGTAAAAAAGATCCCTGTTTTCTGGTATTAAAAAAAAAGAAGAAGACTCTCCCCACACACAGATGTACAGTCTTTGAGGGGATTTTTTTCCTTTGTACATTTGTTTTAAGCCACGATTGTACTCTGATTTTTAATTTTGGAAATAAATATATTCTTATTCTTATTCTTATTCATCCTCTATTGACTAATGACTTCCCCAAACAAATTGAGAGCGAAAATGCTGTTGCAATCATGTATGCAGATGACACAACCATTTTGATCAATGACAACACAGCCCTAATCCTGTACCTTAATTCAAAATTGATTTTAAATAAAGCCATCCTCTACTCAAAGAACAATGAGTAAAGAACAATCAAGAACAAACCCCACAACTCTAAATTTCAGTAAGAAAAAAGACATAGCCCTTCAACTAGAGGATGTAACGATAGAAAACCACTGTCATCCTTGATAACAAACTAACATGGAAAGAGCACATCAACCACCTGAACAAAAAAATCAGTGCTGGAATACATGTCGTCCAAAGAATAAACTACATAGGCGGACTATCTGTAGCCAAAACAGCTAACATCGCACTGGTAGAGTCACATCTTGGATATGGCTTGACAGTTTGGGTAGGAACTTCAACAAAAAATATGAATTAAATCCTTGTTCTTCAAAAGAAAGCCATAAGAGCCCTCGCCGGCCTTGGCCCACCACAGACTTGCAGACTAGCATTCACAAACCTAGGAATCCTCACAGTGGTGTCTCTCTACATACTTGAAACCATAAAGTATGTGGATGAAATAAATCCCCCAAGAAACCAAGACCTGCACCACTACAACACCCGTCATGGCTCCAAATTTGTCCTACCAAACCATTCATTGGGAGAAAAAAACCTTCCTACTCCGGCCGCAAACTGAGGAACCATCTACCTGACTACCTGAGAGACCTGACTGGCAACAAGCTACACCAGGAGTTAAAGAAGTGGCTGATCGCAAGACCTTTCTACTCAACAAAGGAATTTTATGGACATTCTGGAAATTAACACATACAATTTACTGTTGTATTGACACAATTGTAATTCTTGACGAATGACCAATAAAGAATATTGTATTGTATTGTAACAGGGTGCAGCACAATTAATTTTTTTCATTTAAGACAACATCTAATTTGAACCAAATAGCAACATAAAGCTGTGAAAAATAAAAATTTCAATTTTTTATTGTTTAGGGGTAGTGGTAGAACATTATGGCTATGGTAGATCTGCTATATCATATATCATACCGTAAATTAAAAGAACAAAATTTTCTTAAACCGTGTCCTCTCCCATTGCAAACGCAAAGCACTATCAACAAACAAACAAACAAATAAACAAACAAACACACAAACTTTCACATTTATAATATTAGTATGATTAGAAAAATATAATGAGTGATCGTGTCTGAAGGATTATAGCAGAAATGTTCATTGAAGTTTTTTTTAGATGTTTATAAAATCAGATCCTTTTAGACAAGATGAAAATGACCACAATAATCCCTCAAACATCATAAGCCCACCATCACAAAAAATTAGCTTTCAAACAAATTATGAGTTATTTTTCTAACCCCAATCACAGAATCAATTCATCACTAGGGATGCAGTTAAGGTACATTTAAATATAAATAAAATTATTGCATTTTGTAGTATTTGTGTGATTATTGTTTATTATAGATATTATATAAATACAAAGACACAAACTTTCACATTTATACTATTAGTATTATTACTGCTATGTATTATAGGATTATTATAATTTAATTGATATTTATTATAAACTAGCTGTGTGCCCGTTCTACGCACGGGGATCTTATAGTAGTCAGTTGAAACCTTCTTATATTAAGATTAAGAACAGCAGTTAGTTTGCATATTTGCAGATATGCTGGCAAAACTATTATATATAAACCTTCGCAAATACAGAATCTGACAGTTCA